AGGGAGGCCTCAATTGCACAGGGCCAGGGAGAGATGGGGCTGGGCTGATAGTCACCCCAAGAGAGCCCCCTGCAGGGCTCCATACTGCGTGGGGTTCTAGGTCCTCACACCAACCCTATGTGGTGTGTGCACATCCCCATTTTACAGGCAGGGAAACTGAGGCACGGAGCTGTCCATGAGTTGCCCTGGCCTGTCCCTCTGAGCGTGGTGGAGCCGAGGTCTGGCCCTGGGGGGACCTGACCCCACACTGCGTGCCCTGCTGTGCTGCCAGCCAGCCCAGCGCCTGCCTGGCACTGGGGTTAAGTGGGGCAAGACCACTTTTCAGCTCTCAGCAGACTCAGGGATTCCTTTTTGGGGTGTTTTGCGTCAGTCTGTTTCCTCCTAGGCAGAAAAGCAGGCCCCGTGTCCTCCTGTCCTTGGGGACCTGCAGGGTGGCCTCTTGGGACCATCTGGACGTGATGGCATGCGAGCCTCATCCCACATCTCCAAATGGGAGATGCCCGCTGCGTGCAGGCGGTGTTGTCAGGGCAGGCGGCTGGCACTTAGCAGCAGCCGTGAGGATGTGAGGTGCCTGCACTGTGTGGCTGCCTCCTGCCCGGATGGGGATGGGCTGGGCTGAAGAGGGTGGGGAGACGGCTTGCTCGAGGATGGGACAGAGCCTGCTTCCCGGAGGAGTTGTTTGTTGGTTTTTTGTCTTGCTTTTGTTTTACTGTGGCAAAATACACATAACACAAAATGTACTATTAAAACCACTTTTAGCATGTAGTTCAGTGGCAGTGAGCACATTCATGCACATGATTCTGCCCCCATCACCATCCCCATCCCCAGAATCTTTTCATCTTCCCAAACCCTGTCCCCATTAAACACTCTCTCCCCATCCCCTCTCCCCGCCCAGCCCTGCACCCTTTATTCTACTTTCTGTCTCTGAGTTTGATGACTCTAGAGACCTCATATAAATGGCATCGTGCAGGATTTGTCCGGCTTGTTTCACTCAGCTTGTTTCACTCAGCGCAGTGCCCTTGGGGTTCATCCACGTTGTAGCAGGTGTCAGAATTCCCTTCCTTTTTAAGGCTGAATCAGATTCCACCGTATGGATGGACCACATTTTGTTTTTCCATCCATCTGTCGATGGACACTTGGATCGCTTCCGCATTTTAGCTATTGTGCATGATACTGCTATGAACGTGGGTGTGCAAATATCTCATCAGGACCTTACTTCTAATTCTTTTGGGTGTGTGCCCAGAAGTAGAATTGCTGGATCAGATGGAGGTTCTCTGTTTAATTTTTTGAGGATCTGCCACACCGTTTTCCACACGACTGCCCTGTTTTACATTCCCACCAACAGTGTACGAAGGGCCCAGTTTCTTGCACCCTCACCAGCACTTGTTTTCGGTCTCGTTTTAGCTTTCTTTTTCTTTGTTGTTTAAATAGTAGTCCTCCTAGTGGGTATGAAATGATCAGGTGAAATTTAAAACTTCATTTCGAATGAACTTAATTCATTGAACTTTGCTTCTTTCTCCCCAAATAAGGGCAGAGACAAATGAAACATTAATTACTAGATGTTTTACTCTATTAGGAAACTCTGTGTGAAATAATATCCCAAGGGGCTCAGTTAGCTGTGCCAACTTTCTGACTGATAATCAGTGCTGTCTGGACTTGAACTTTCTAGAACCTTCTGGGCAGGAAAGTCCTCCCACGCCTTCAGACTCTGTCCTCGACTGGACTTCACAGTGGGGTCTTTGTCAGCAAAGGGTGGAATGCTTGTTCTCTGAGGAGCTGGGGACTGAGCTCTTAATGGGGTCCAGTGACAAAGGTCTGGACGCTGGAGATTAAACTAACTTCAGATGGGAACCGGCCGGGATCTAACTGGGCTCATTGAACGTTTGAAGGAAGGCCTTTCTTTCTCACGGCTGGTGAATCTTTGAGTTGAACACAATGCTTTTCCACTGGAGATATTTATAACGCGGGCGAGTTTTCCGCACCCCTGAGGATCCACAGTGTCTGTGTCCATGAACCCGCAGGCGGCTGTTTCCTGCTCCGCAGGACTCTCTCTTCCGTCTGTTAATCTCCCGTGTTATTTATTGCTGTGGGACAGACACCCCAAACTTAGTGCTGTTTCCTGGCTTGTGATTCTGTGGGTCAGTGGTCTGGGCAGGGCTCTCAGGGCTCTCTCTGCTCTGCATGGTGCACTGGGGTCACTCGGGCAGTGGCATTTGGTGGGTGGCCTCAGGCACGGCCTGGGGCCCTGGTGCTGGCTATTGGCCGGGGCGCCTCAGTTCTCCCCCGGGGCCTCGCCCTCCAGCAGGACAGCCGGGTTTCTCACAGGGTGGCTGGTTCCAGGAGAGCAAACGGGGGGGGTCTCCAGCCCCTAAGGCCTCGGCCCCAAACCCTAAGGAGCGTCCCTCGGTTACTTCCTGTGGCGCAGACCCCGGGAGAGGGGAGTGGCCATGCCTCGGGGTGGAGGCTTCACGGACGTGGTTCAGAGGAGGCACGGGGGGCGTCGTGGCAGTGACCACACCGGGACAACGTGGCAAAACGGGTCCAGGCCCTAGCTTGCCTCCCCTCCCCCAAAACAGACAAGCAAACAAGAAATGCGGAGAGCCCTTTTCTGGGGAGGGGAGGGGGCCCGGCTGCCTCCACGCCCCCCTTTCCATCCACACTGAGCGCAGGGGTCTCCTGGGCGCCTGGCCCTGGGTTAGACACGGGACTGCGGACGACTCAGAAGTGGTCCTGCCTCAAGGTGCTGGGCCTGGCGGCCAGGACAGCGTCAGACCCGGGAGGTAAAGGGTCGGGGGGTCTGCCCCAGAGGAGGTGTCCCCTGAAAGCATCACCGGGTGAACCGTCAGGGGTCAGGAAAGGCCATGTCACCCGAGCAGAGTCTCAGCAGGAGAAGGGGTGTTACGGGTGGCTGCGGGGAGCTGTGGAGGGGGACGGCCGGGCCGGGCACACCTAGGGAGCTTGTTGCCCCCAAAGCCTGGGGTGGGGAGGGGAGCCGCGGGGCAGCAGGAGGTCGCCACTGGGTCCGGGAGGCCTTGTCCCTTGGTTGTGAGGCTCAGGCTTGGGAGCTCACAGATGCCCGTGGAATGCCACCGGCTCCGCTCCTCCTGTAATGTGGTTTTTTATAGTCGGGGGACTGACTGTGCCGAGGCCTCTGCCAGCTGACCGTAAGCTCCGGATTAGAGGCCTGGCCCCGGGGAGCGGGGGTGGCCGGGACGGGGCCTCCTCCCCACCTGCCCGCCATCGGCAAAGGTCCCGGGCTCGAGTTCTAGGTTGGGAGGGACCATCCCCCAACCCAGCCCCTCTGGGCAGCGAGCCTCGTGGGGGCCCCCGGGGGCCCCCAGGGTGGGCCTGGCTCTGCGTCTGCTCAGACACTCCGTGGTGCCAGGACGTGGCCCCTCTCTGGGCGTCCGCATTCTCACCTCCCGAGCAGGCGTGTCACCGGTTTGGGCCCTGGTGGCCGCCCAGGGGCACGGCGGCCTCACCACGTGTGGGACTGGCCCGGGTCCCTGGGATTCGGTGCCAGCAAGTGTGACCGGGACAGTTTTAGTGTGCCTCTTCCCTGTCTGCCCCGGGCACCCTCCTTCCAGGCCTTTCTTTGGGCAGAGGGAGGAGGGCGAGGCACCAAGGGATTCCTGTGTGGTGACACCACGCCGGGCGTCCAGCCCCGGTGACCCGGCGTCCCCATTCACTCGGCTGCGGGACTTCATTCACGCTGGCGGGGCTCTGGCCCAGCGCAGGGCCCTGCGGCCGCTCTGCGCCCAGGCATCTTGCAGGCCCACGTGCCCCCTCCACCCGAGCCCCCTGGGCTGGGATCCCAGCCGGGCCTCCCCTCTGTCAATGAAAATAATCAATAAACCATCAATAATAAGAATAGAAGAGAGTTTTATTTGAGCCAAACTGAGGACTAGCCCTGAAACCTGCTTCCCAGATGACTCCGGAAAAGCAGGGTTTTCAGCACAGTTTTATATCTTGTCAGAACGAAGACCATCAAAGAAGTCAGGGTGATGTTTCTTCAAGGTTTCAAAAAATAATTAAAATAAAAAAACAGACCAGCACGTACACAGAGAGTCGCGTGGCCTTGGGCACCTGGGAGGGAGGCGTAGCATCGAAGGAGGAGGGGCATTTATTCAATCTTTACATTCAACACGGACAGTCTTTACTGCTGGTCGACGTGCCCTTTTCTCTAATAATTAAAGCAGATGTACAATTTGATAGACCACAAATAGGCTATTTTAGTTAGCATCAAATTCAAGTGAACTCGTGTATAAGCCACGATGACTTTCCCGTATCTCAGTTTGTAAACGTGTCTTTTAAAATCACCTCTGTGGGTGGGAGCCCCGAGGCTGGATCTCAGCCCTGCAACTGCGCACCAGGGGCTCCAGTGCCCCCCACCCAGAAAACAAGCCAGGGAAGAGGGGAGGGGCTTTGAGGTGGGCCAGGCTGCTTCGTCTGCAGGGCAGGAGCCACCGCCTGTGTTTTGCCAGCTTCCCCTCACCACAGCCCGGGTGAGGAAACCAGGTCTCGCAGCCGCCCTCCTGGATGTGCACCCGCCGCCCACCCCTCAAAGGAGCATGGGCCAGAGGGAGGGGCTGCTGGGCTCTCCACGCAGCTGGGACGCCCTCCTCGGCCCCCTCTGTGACCCCCATCCTCCAGAAGTTGCCCCAGCTCCTCTCACCAGCCCGGGAGATGAGAGATGGCTGACGGCTTGGGGCCAGCGGGCAGGACGCCCTCTCCCACCTTGCTGAGGCCGTACAGCTCGGACTCGGGCCAGGATGGTGTCCTCAGGCCTGGGAGAGCTGGCGTGTGGCCTGAGCTGCCTGGATGGCTCACGTCACCACAGTGCTGTGGGGACATCGCCGCGGTGCTCGGGGGGAGGTCTCACGGGTTGGCTCAGGCTTCTGTGGGCAGTCGCTGTGCAGTGGCCCTGAGCCCGCCCTGCAGGGGCCCCACCGACCCGAGCTCTGGCCAGGCTGACACCGGGGTCTGTCCTCCCTCTGCAGGGGCTGGGGTCTTCTTCCTGTCCTCGGCCGAGGGACAGCAGATCAGCTTCCTGTTCGACTGCATTGTCCGCGGCATCTCCCCGACCAAGGGCCCCTTTGGGCTGCGGCCTGTTCTCCCAGGTGGGTGCTGGAGTTGGGGAGCCCAGCCTGGCGGGAGGGTCAGGTGGGCTGCTTGATCTCGGGCTCCCGGGGGCGTTCGCACCGGCACAGCCCCTCCTCCACGGGGTCTGGGCTGCTGGGACGCTCAGAGGCCGAGGCTTCCGGTTGGGACAATTACTGCAGCTGCACCAGGTGGGCCAGCAAGAGGCCCGAGCCCGGGACCCCGAAGACCTTCCGAGCCGGCCCGTCTCCCAGATCTGGGCTGGGCCCTCGCCTGCGGTCGCTGGGGTCAGGGCTGGCTCCATGGGAGCCAGAGTTCGGGCTGGAAGTCGCCTTGTGAGCTGGGATCTCAGCGCATTGGGTTGGTAGGTGCCAGGGCTGCATGAGCTGGCCTGGCCTTCTCTCCCATTTCCCTGGCTGTGGCTGGGACACTGCTCCTCAAGAGTCCTGGACCAGGGATGGCGCTGGCCCGCGGAGGGCCACGCTACCTGGGCACGACTTCCCTCAGGGAGGCCGGGGAGGCCCAAGCCCATGGCAGGGACAAAGGCTGGTCCTTGTCATCGCAGCTTCCTTTGACCGAGGCCCTCCGGGTGGGTGGTATCCAGGGTCACCGATACTTCCCTCGCCCCAGTGAGGCAGCGCTTGTCCCCTTGTCCAGGTGGGAGACCAAGGCCTGTGGCCGGGCAGCAGGTGGTCAGTGAGCTCACATCCGTGGCCTCCTTGCGTGGGCACCATAGCCAGGTCCGGAGCAGGTGGAGCTCCCAGGGAGACAGGAGCTGGCGACGTGCCAGGTCCCTTTTCTCCCAGTGTGGGCCCCTCAGCCCCGCAACCCCCTAAGCGGGCCGGGGGGGGGGGGGGCAGTTCCTGTGACCAGGGCCTCGCCGCCCGGGCTCTGCGGTGTGGTGAGGCAGCGCCATCTTCTGGCATCTTCCCGCATTGCAGCCGCAGGTAGTGGTGTGGTTGGCCGGGATCAGAAGGGGGCTGGCGTGGATGGGGCAGGTGTGGACAGCTGGGGTGTGGACAGCTGCGGTGTGGACGGGGCTGGTTGGTCCCTGCTCGCTGAGCCTGGCCGGTGTCGTGTTGAAAGCCTGTGATCCTTGGGGACTCTTGAGATGTGGCCTCCACTGGGTCAGCAGCCTTAATTAACACTCTGAGATTTGGGGGTGTCTTCTCAAGCTGACCGCTGCTCGGTCAGACCCACTTGGGCACCAAGGCCCAGAGGCAGGACCTGCCTCACATACAGTGGGGAGGGAGAAGGGGAGAAGATAGCGTTCCGGGGTCCACCCTGCCCCAGGCATGTCCTGTGCATTCCCATCTTGGTCCCCTCGCGCGTGGCGTGCACTGTCTCTGCTCCCACGTTTTGCAGTCATGGCTGTGAGGTTCAGGGAGGGCAAGTGGTGGGGCTGTGAGTTCGTCCAGTGCCAGCGTCCTGCTGCCTCACCAGCAGCAGGAGGGTGTGCCAGTGTCCTGACCCACTGCAGGGACTGTCCGCTTTGGGGCACGGGGCATCTGCTGGTGGTCAGGGGGGGCTGTCCTTGGGCCCAGGACACAGGATGACGGCCGGAGACCTGGACGGGGGTGGTTTGGCTACCATGAGCTTGGTGTCTGGCAGCTGGGGTGCTGGCGTGGGGAGGAGCTGGGGCTCCCAGGGGCTCTGTCGTGGTGCCGCGACTGGACCGAGGTCCACAAGGCCCTGGCAGTGCTGGGGTAACTGTGATGTCCTGAGCAGTGGGTGGGCCGCAGGGACAGGGCTGGGGCCGCCTCCTCGCTGACCGTCCCCTCTGCTGCAGACCTGAGCGCCGGGGGCCCTGCCGTGGAGGAGCGCGTGGCCCAGGAGGCCCTGGAAGCCCTGCGGCTGGAGAAGCGGCTCAGCCTTCTGTCCCACCCTGGCTGGCCGGGCAGCGCAGGTAGGGCGTGGCCTGGGCCGGGCGGCGCAGGTAGGGCGTGGCCTGGGCCGGGCGGCGCAGGTAGGGCGTGGCCTGGGCCGGGCGGCGCAGGTAGGGCGTGGCCTGGGCCGGGCGGCGCAGGTAGGGCGTGGCCTGGGCCGGGCGGCGCAGGTAGGGCGTGGCCTGGGCCGGGCGGCGCAGGTAGGGCGTGGCCTGGGCCGGGCGGCGCAGGTAGGGCGTGGCCTGGGCCGGGCGGCGCAGGTAGGGCGTGGCCTGGGCCGGGCGGCGCAGGTAGGGCGTGGCCTGGGCCGGGCGGCGCAGGTAGGGCGTGGCCTGGGCTGTGAGTGGGCGCCAGTGGCCCTGGGGCCGCGGCTGTCCCTTTAAGGCAACCTCCCAGCTCCTGTTCCTTCATTCATGCCCCTCCCTCTCTCACTCGTGATGTCACACTCATTGAGCTCCGGCCTGGATGCTGACCGTAAGCACGGTGCCCCCGTGGGTGCCGGCTGGGGGGTTGGGTTCGAATTCCTTCCCAGCCACCGGGGTGTGGCCTGGTGAGGCTGTGGCTTCACCATCTGTGCCCACACAGAAGGCTCAGGGGTGCTGGCTGCCGGGAGAAGGCTCCTCAGCTGCTGTGCTCCGCGGGGAGACAGATGGAAAGGGCCGGCAGGCCCTCGAGGGGACGCTGCAGCTCCGGGGGGTGGTGGGTGGGGTCTCCTGGGCCAGAGGCGGGGGAGCTCTGCGGGCCCTCTGTCCTGTGTGATTGTCGCCAGTCCCACGGGTGCAGAGTGGGGACGGCAGCCTCTCCGTCCAGGCCCCTAGAGCCGGGGGCTCAGCTGCGCACGGGCCGCCACCTTCCCGGAGGAGGGCCTCACGTCTGGTTCCCAGGGGTATGGCAGGGCAGTGGGCGAAGGGGCCGTCCTAGGTGACGCTGGGCGTGGAGGTCCAGGCAGGGTGTGGGTCAGCCGTCCCGGGGTGGCGACTGGAGACCGGAGAGCTCAGGCCCTCAGCAGGGCGGGGGCGTGGGAGGGCTAGACGTCAGCCCACCCTGGGCAGCCCGAGCCCCACAGGAGTCTCAGCCCCCGACTCTCCGCTCAGGGGACGACCGCAGCCTGTCCAGCTCGTCGTCAGAGGCCAGCCACTCGGATGTCAGCGCCAGCAGCCGGCTCGCGCCGTGGCCAGAGCCCTCCCCGTCCTCGGCGGGCGCGTCGCCGGAGGGTCTTGGGCTGGCGGCCGCCCAGACCCCCGGGGAGGCCACAGCGGGTGCCTCAAGGCCACCCCCCAGGCCGCTGCGGCCCCGGCAGCTGCAGGAGGTCGGCCGCCAGAGCTCCTCGGACAGCGGCATCGCCACGGGCAGCCACTCCTCCTACTCGGGCAGCTTCTCGTCCTTCGCAGGCAGCAGCCTAGACGTGTGGCGCGGGGCCGATGAGCTGGGCTCTCTGCTCAGCCTGCCGGGAGGCGGGGCGCCTGAGCCCGGCCTGTGCGCCTGCGCCCCCGGGGCGGCCGAGTACCAGGTGCCCACTGCACCGCGGCCCCACTACGACACGCCCCGCAGCCTGCGCCAGGCGGCCCGGGACCAGCCCCCCACCACACAGGCTAGCGCCAGCGACGGAGCCGCCGGGGACTTGGGCAGCCGGCCGGCGGCGGGGTGTCCCTCCGGCTGGCTGGGCGAGCGACGGCGGGGACAGGCGACAGAGGCCCCATCGGGGCCGGGCGAGCCCTGGGAAGCGGGCGCCCCCCACGCGGGGCCCCCTCCGGCTCTCTTTTCCGCGTGTCTCGTCTGCGGAGGACTGAAGGTAAATGCCCCTCCCTGAGGGCGGCGGCTGCGGGGTGGGTGGTGCCCTCGTGGGGCTGCCCTCGTGTCGTGGGGCAGCTGGCACTGGGCTCGGTGGGGCGGCCTGGGGGCCGGGGGGGTCCAGCCTGCAGGGAGGGCCGCGGACGCAGCTGGAAGTGCGTTCTGGAGGGTGGGAGGCTGGTGGGGGGCCGGGTCGGGGGGCAGAGCCCAAGGACCAGGTGCCCAAATCAAACAGGAGCCTGAGACTAACCTCCCTGCGCGTTGCGTTGTGTGTCCGAGGGGCTTCACCTGCTTGCGTGCACAGGTGGTCTGTCCTTTGGGGGGTTGCTGAGGCCCAGGAGGCCCCGGGGACTGCTGAGGGTCTGGCTCTCAGGACCCCGGGACCCCGACGGCTCACTCACAGCCGCTGCTTCCTGAACCTGCGTGCTCCAGGGGGAGGGGCAGGTGGGGAAGGGCAGGGTCGGGGTCACTTGCCAGGAGCCCCAGAACAGCGCGGGCAGCGGGCGCCCCCCTCCGCCCTCCTGGCTGAGCCAAGGGCTGGTGCTCAGGACCAGAGGATGCAGGGCTCGGGCCGTCCGTTCGCATTCAGGGGCCCCAGGCACTGCCGGTGGGTCGCCTGCGGGCGTCGTGCCTCTTCCACGCCCTCCGTGGCCGGCTCGGCCTGCTCGCCTGCATGGATTTTGGCTGCGTGGCCTGGTTTGTCCATTCGCGCTACGATTCCAGACGCCCCCGTGGAAGGCGAGGCCCGTGTCCGTCCGATCCGGGCTCCGGCCGGCTGCGTCCCGCACACAGCTCAGCTGTAATTGTTTCGCTTCGTACCTTCACTACTGGCTGAAGCCGTTTGTTGCTTTTCACACCTGACACTGTTTGTAATACATTCTTAGACTGGAAATAAAATTGTTTTTTCTTATCGTCTTGTCCTTTTCCATGTGGCCAGCTGTGTCCACCTCCCACCCTGGCCCTCCCAGTGGGGCCTTTAACTGTCTCTGAAATCCAGGGGCTCGGCCTCCCTTGGCCCGTGGGTCACAGAGCAGGGAGAGGCCTCGTCTGTCTGTTCAGCCTTAAGCCTGAACACGCCAGAGGCGTGAACAAGGAGAGCAGCCTCAGACAGCACACAGGCCTCGTGCACGTGTGCATGTGTGTGTGGTGTGTGTGCCAGCGTGTGATGTGTGCATGTGAGTGCTTTCATTTGCATGCATGTGTACTGTGCGTGAGATGTGCACACACATGTGACATGCAGTGTGCATGTGTGTCATGGCGTGCATGTGTGTATGCATTTGCATGCACTTGTGTGTGGCGTGTGCACATCCTGTGTGCGTGTTACACGTGTGGTGTGATCTGTGCTTGGGTGCCAGGTGTATGCGTGTGCCCACACACGTGTGTGGCCTGTGTGATGTGTGTGCACACGTTCACTGGAGACCACAATGTGGTCCTCAGTGGTCCCTTAGGCTCAGGCAGGTGGCTCCCTGTGTCCAGTGAGGGTGGACACCCTACCTCCTGGGCCAGTGAGGGTCCTGGCTCTGAGCCTGGAGCACCCTCCCCACCCCTAGTCTCCCCTACGTGGGCAGCAGAGCTCCAGGGACCCCATCAGGGTCCCCCTGCACGTCCCGGGAAGCCACATCCCACCCTGTCACACCCACTTCACCCTGTTCACCGCCCTGTTAGAGAGCCGGGGAGCCCAGGTCCCTGCAGACGCTGAGGACCGGGGCTCTGGCCCGGTTCCTGCGACACTGCAGTGCAGGGAAAGACAAGCTGGGGCCCTGCCCGCCGGCTGGGCGGCCCCCCAGCAACTCATTGCCCCTGTCTGGGCCTCCTCCGTAGATAGGACAGCAGTCTAGCCTGCCTGGGCCCTGAGGGGCCTGCTGAGATGTTGTATGGAAGTGCTCGGTGGCTGCCTGTCAACGGGGCTCGACTCACTGCTACTGTCGCCTCCCCAGAGGGACCCACCAGCCTTGTTGCAAAAGAAAGAGGCTGGGAGGTGCTGATGCTGCGGGCTGTGGGGAGCGGCCCGCTCCCGCCAGAGCCCTCATCTTCCAGGCCCAGCCCTCCCTCCCACGGGCCCTGCCCGCAGACGGCCCTCCCTCCACCAGAGCAGGTGGTGGCCCCGGCGGCCAAGGGACTTGCCCTCCACGTGAAGCCAGGGAGGGCTGGAGCTGGGCGTTCGGCCTGCCCCTGGCCCGTGTGGGCGCCCTGGCTGTGACCTCTGGTCTCCTGGACCGAGGTCGATGGCCGGGACTTCAGGGAAGAGCCATCTGAGGGGAGCGGCGGGAGGGGTGGACCGAGGGCCGCCAAGTGAGGGCTCGGGCTCGGTCGGAGCAAGTTTCCGGAGGGGACAGGCTCCGGGCTGGAGGGGAGTGGCCAGGGCCTGGGCCCAGAGGAGGGAGGGGCCCTCCATGGGAGTGGCCACTGACTGCCACGGCCCTTTGGGGAGGTGATGGGGTGGCTCAGGAGGAGGGCCTAGCCCCCAGGAGGGTATGCCTCAGTTTCCCCTGCAGCCCAGGGCGGCGCAGAGGCACGGAGCTTCTCATCGGGTGCAGCCAGGTGGGCCGCCAGGGTAGCCCCGCGGGAAGCTTTCGGCCTCGTCCCCTATCTTTCCAGAGCTCACGGTGTGGGCCTCGCGCCCCTGGCTGGGAACACCTGCTTCTGCACTCCTGGGGCCACCAGCTTCACTGCCCCTCCCTGGGGTGGGGTGGGCTTCTCAGGTGCCAGGAATGGCAGGGCTGGGGGCAACCAGAGAGTCGTCCTCGCCTCCCCAGGCCCCGTGCACCCACCTGCCCCCACCCGGCCCTGGCGCCCAGGGGGAGGGGACAGGAGGCGCCGCGTTTGCCCATCTCCCGCGGCACGTGGTTTCATCCTTTGGGTCTGACGCTGTGCCCGCAGGACTCACCGCCAAAGCAGGTGCCGTCTGTGGGTGGGGCTCTGAGCAGCTCGCGATGGGGGCTCCTGAGGGCGGTTGGCTCTTGTCCCAGGCGCTGGAGGTCAGACGCGCCCTCCCCAAGTCCCCAAGCCTGCCCGGGCGCCTTTACACGAGGTGATGGCTTAGGCCAGCCCAGGTGCCCAGCAGCCTGGCCGGGCCAGGGTCGAGGTGCTGTGTCTTGAGTTGGGGCAGCTCCTTTGATCTCCCAGAGAGCGGGTCAGGCTTCTGCATCCTTATGCCATCCCCCCATGTGACCCCACTGCTGGGCTGTCCTCCTCAGAAGCACCGGGGATGCTAGACCCTTTCCCGTCAGGTGCCCCTGGCCCTGGCTGCCCCATCTCCTACTGGTCTGGGGGAATGGAGGCTCAGGCAGCAGTGAATGTGCCGGCAGTGGGCCACCGTCCCTCCCTTCCAATCTGCCGGCAGACGCTGCCCCCAGCTCTGAAGCCCCCGAACCCCCTTCCTTCTCGGAGTCTTTCTGCACCTCCAATCAGGCACCTCAAAGCGGCCACCCTGCGGTCTGGGGGCCTTGACCCATCTCACGGGGCCCCCAGGAGTGGCTCAGCCGGGGTGCCCTGCTTAGGGCAGGCCGGCAGTGCCCGGGGTCAGGGGTGACATGACAGCCCTCGTGCATCTCATGGCTACAAACCCTGCCGCACAGCTGGCAGCATGTGACACACGGCCACCAATACTGACAAGAGCAGCCAGGCCAGATGTGTTCTGGAGGCCCAAGCTGCCGACGCCTCACCCCAAATGGGTTTGTGGGTGTCAGGGTGGGCAGGGACCCCTGGAGAGGAGTTGGGCCCCGGCTGGTCTCCCTGGCAGGTGGCCCTTTGTGACTCTTGGGTAGCATCCTGGCTCTTGGGCTGGGTGCCGGGTGAGCGGGAGCCGGATGGACAGACTGACATGTGTTCTCCTTGGTCTAGGGAGCTGCTGCCTCACCCCCTGGGCTCCCGGTGATGCACTCAGGTAGGCCTTGGCTTTGGCACAGCCTCGGGACAAGGGACGTGGGGTCACAGTGGCCGCAGTCACAGCCCAGCCAGAAAGTCTGTGCCAGACAAGACAGCGGGGGGTCAGTGGGAGGAGGGTGCAGCGGGGAGGGGGTGACAGTGGACAGCAGGGCGGCAGTGTGCAACCAGGGTGAAGCCTGGCTGGGGTGTGATGGAGCCAGGCAGCGAGTTGAGGACAAGGTGGCCGAGTGTGGACAGCCTGCCGGGGACGGTGCGTGGTCAGAGCGGGCAGGGTCAGCTGTGGCCTGGAGCTGCAACCTTTAAGAGGGAGGCTTGTCCTCCAGGTGACAGAGAACAGAGGTGACGATGCTCCGGGGACCCAGGAGTGGGCAGGGGCATTGGTGACCTTGGTGGGAGGAAGCCCAGGAAGGGAGCCAGGGGAAGATGCGGGGTCCCCTTGGAGAAGCCCCGTTAAGAGGTGACGGCTGGGCAGATGCTGGCTCTGACCCAGGGGAAGGCCTGGGAATCTGGGAGAGGCTGCAAGCCTCGGGTGGCATGGCTGGAGGTCGGGGGTGTGCTCTGTGCCTCATTTTCTCGGTGGAGTAGAGGCCACCTCCAGCCTGGGGTGGGATCTTTTTATTTCCTCTTCAGAGGCGCATGGTGCCTGTTTGGGCTAGACCCTGTGGGCCAAGCAAGGCCCAGGCCCGTCCAGAGTGGAGGGTGCAGGAGGGAAAGGGCAGGGCCATGGGCATGCAGGGTCAGACAGTGGCCACGGGAAAGCCCCATGTAGGCCAGCCTAGGGTTCCCTGGGTCAGGATGGGGCCCTGAGGACCACTCCCTGATGACACTGGTACTGGATGCCTCCTGCCTGCTGTCCATACCCCCACTCCCCCTTTTACCCAGACAGAGTGCGCGTTCCAGGGAACAGGCAGGGGACAGGCGTCAGGATCTACTGGAGGACAAGGAACATTTCCTCTGGGGTGGGGGGCCTGGGGAGGAGGGGTCCTGGGTCTGGTGGGAGCAGAGATGAATCAGACCCAAGACAGCGTGGCCAGAGAGCGGTGATGGGTGAGACACCCAGTGTGGTCGGGCCGGGTCTGCTGTGTGGCCAGGGAGAGGTCAGGACAGACCCACCCGATCTCTGCTTGGCCC